GTTACCTTTTTCATCTTTTTTTTTTTAACAGTGTCAACCTAACTTAAATATTGTATAGTTAGTGTTTGGAAATATATATAATAATTATTATTTTTTAAAATATTTTGTTTTAGAAATATATTAAAATAATATTTTTTATTTTTAATATTAATAAACTAAAATAAAAAAATATTTTTTAAATACAAGCCCATTTTCCGTTACTATGTCCAACAAGGCAAACTATAAAAGCCGCCTCTAAAGTACAAAATTACTAGAATCACCCGAAACTCTCCTTCAAGTTCAAGTGAGCATTACAGAAAACCCCTTTTGTGTCCAAAATATCCTTAATATTTCCTGATCCCCGCCGCCTAACATTAAGGTGTTTTGGGTATAAAGGAGGAACATTTATAATATTTCTAAACTCTTAGATGGTCATTATAATCTTATAATACCTTAAAGAATTATTAATTTACCTTATTCAAAATAAGATTTAAATACCTTTAACAAATTAATTTAATAAAACGTGAGATGCAAAAAGATATTAATCTTCGACATATTTCTTTTTGTAAGAAATAATTAAAAAAATAAATAACCAGAATTTATTGGAAAGGAAGCTTTTCCACCTTTAGTTGATCCTAAATTTGTTTTGGTCAGCTTTGAGTAAAAATCTAAGCAAGACACTTCCCTTTAATAATTGTGTACGTGATAGTTTGTGTAAGAGGTTCAGTAATTCCAATTTTTTTCCAGCTATAATTTATTAGGACTTCCTTCGATTTAACCCAAGACTCTTCAAATTTTCTATTGGAAAAAAAAAAATCACATGAAAGAGGCAGCAAAACAAAAACCTTTTCTATTTAATCTGTTTTTTTTTCTAAAGTGTTTTTCAAATTATTTTTAATGCTTTTTATATATTTTTCTTATTATTTTGATATATTAATGTCAATTAAAAATTATATATATTTTTAATTAAAAATCACATGTCCCACGATACAGAGAACACATAGAATAAGTAAACACATGTCAAGGTCCGCCTTCATTATGAATTCATCTAACAAAAAGAAGAGGAAAAGGGAAAAAAAAACCTGAAAATCATATAATAATACATTTATTGAGTTATGAGCAGGAAGACAAGGGCATCTTCCTGCACATTTCCTCGTCAATATTGCTCGGGGGATGTCCAAATCCCACCCTGCACTAACTTGTTAATTTGTTTGCCGATTCGTTTTGTCTTCCTATCAAAGTCACAAGCAAGTTTCTTTGACGCCAGAAGTTTTTGGTTCTTGTCCACAGGATTCCGACCACTGTTCATCGAATTTACAAACTAAGTAGTTCGCATTTAATTCACTTGAACCCATACAATTCTTTCGGAGCCTGGATACTTCAGAAAGATTATAAAGCTAAGGAATTGCTAGCAATATTAGCAGAGAATCTTAAGAGTTTTTAGTGAGAAGACTATAGCCGTTGACTTCAGGAAATCATATTGCATAAGCTCGGTGAATCATCAGAATTTATAACACATACTGTAGCATATACCATGAAAGATTCCATCATAACTTCAATCTGTAAGAGACCTCCTTGGCAATCTTTACATTCTATATATATATATATATTTATTGAATCGAGAAAAGGTAAATGCCAAAATTACAGCCAAAGGCCGAGATGGGGTAGAGGTGCCCCATGCAAAAGAGAGCGACGGGAAAGGAAGCCGGCGAAGAAAAGAAAACGCATAAAAATGCAGAATCGGAAGGCCAAGCCACAAAGCAGCTGAATGCGAAACCCACCCCATGGCAACACAAAAGCTCAACAAATTAAAGAGAAATGGACAACTTATTTCTGTCGATACAGTCATAGTTATAATACCCCGTCGGCTTTACAAAGTCAATTTGATAACTCGTCTGTGGGGAATTTTTTTTTTTTTTTACCAAATTGTTTTGGTTGTTAAAAGCATGAAAGGCTGGGCCGCGATCCAGAGTTCTATATCTATGGATACAATTCATCAAAGATTAAAAAAAATAAAAAAATCATGAAATTAATATAAACAAAGGTTACAGCATTCTAAAATATCTTTTTCTAACCGAGAAAACAACGTTCGGACTCGCATATGCTGAGCAAAGAGCTTCACGCACTTTATATATATATATATATATATATATATATATGTTTGTTTGTTTGTTTCGGGCGAAGTGAGCCGGAGATCGGCGAGTGAGGGCAGCATCAATTAGTGTAGCTAATGCCGTTGTGAGTGACCAAGGGAAACGCTCGGAGTGAGGTAAGTCTTCCATGATTGGAAGGCTAGGGAATGAGAGTAGTGAGTTAGCGAGTGCAGACAGCCCTAAATGAAATGGTCGATCGAGTGCGGCGTCTCTTCTTTATTTTCTTTATTGTTTATATATATATATATATATATATATAGAATATATAAATTATTCAATCATATATTTGTACAAGATTTAAAATTTTGTTTTTTAAGAAATTTAAAAAAATATATTTTTTATTTCAAATTAAATATTTTAGTATTTTCAAATTGTTTTGATATGATAATATCAAAAATATTTTTTTTAAAAATAATTTAATGCATTTATGAGTAATCCTATTTATCTCTACGGGCAAATTTATACCTGAAAGTTTTCATATAAAAATCTCTATCGGCGATGTAATATGTAAAATCTGTTTTGATAATGACAAAATTTCATAGCATTTTGTGTTTCCATTTATCGGACCTTTTTGTAAGTTATTATATATATATATATATATATATATATAAACATACAAAAAGATACAGAGCTGGTAGCCCGCTACGTCCATCTAACAGTACTACCATTACGTGATACTCCATTTTTTTCTGGCATCCTCGATCTGAACGATCGATCGTGAAAGATTAGAAGCCTCTAGGAAATGAGGAGAGAACACGTGTGTGTGTGTGTGTGTGTGTGATAAAAAGAAAATAACAGTAGTAGTTACAAGAAGACATGTGCACAAGTAGGTTGCAATATTACAAATTATGGTGGCCTGATTTTGCCTCAGTTGTGTCCGAATATTGGCTCTAAACATCGATTATAACCTTAAAGTGTCAGTTATATCACATGGGTTGTCTCTCTCCAGTGATATAAATTATCAAAATATAATCACAGATAATGATACCAGCAGTGAAACAATTCCAAAATTTAAAAAAGATGGTTCGATCCAATCGGGAAAATGGGGAGTTGCCTCTTGAGTTGCTCAATCATTCGTAGCGCTTAAGATCAAGAGGTGGTCGGTGATTATTATCAACGAATGTACCAAGCTATCATGAAAGTGAAAATGGAGAATATAAATTACAGAAACGAATTATATGTAAGAAGGAAGAAGCCACGAATGTTTGATAAAAGGGTTTATCTGATTGCATGGCAGAAATCCAATCTCTTGCATGCATTGTTGGCAAGTAGTTACTCTTTTTTCCACGTGGAATGTGGAAAAAACAGGAATATCAATCAATCAATCAACATTAAGGAATAATTGTGTTCATTTTTACTGTAATTAGAGCATAATTCTCGAAAAAAGATTAGATGGAGCATCTTCTTTATGTTCACTGCACTTAACATAGTTAAATCACGAAAACACTGTTCGAATCTTGGAATGTTAAGGGAGAAATAAAAACAAAGTAGGTGAGGGTTCACTGAACTTGTCTCGACAATCTTACAAGAATCTCAGAAGGGACAAGCGGGGTTAGTGAATTCAAAAATTTTGCTACATGTAATATTTGCAAAGAACAAGGCAAAGGAGACATGGCAAAATTGGATTAAAATTATAGGGCAAAGGACGGACTAGCTATGATTTCTTTAAAAATCAGAAGAATTTGCTGTGATTTAACAATGTTATGTATCAAGTTTGACTGTCCACTGATTTAAGAGCAGGATCTTCTTAATTATTGAAAAAAATCCCATTAATTTTGAAAACGAGATGCAGTTCAGTTTGGTTTTAGATTGCT